AACAAAAGTGGCAAAAAATTTGTGTTTGTTTATTACCTACAGCCCATATCTCATGTAATTTGGTTTAATTCCAATTTGTGTAATTGGATTTTTTTTGGAAAACTGTCATTTAAATATCGAACTATCCGGTTTGAGGCAAAACAAATATTAACTTGTTAATGAGTCATAAAAATCACAAACTTGTATTGACTCGGCCAAATTAGGTATACAATTAGTCAACTTTAACAGTTTTTTTAAAACGTTAACTCCGTTTATTGTAACCGTTAAGTCTCAAAAACAACATCATTTTGAGATTATGAAAAATGGCCATTTAAATACCAACTCTCCGTTTTGTACCAAAACAAATACCAACTTCTTAATGAGTCATAAAGTATACAAACTTATGTTGACTTTGCCAAATTAGATATAATATTAGTCAACTATAGATCGGAGTTCATATCCGGAAACATAGAAAGACTAGACCCTCCAAGATTCTAGCGTGAGTAACATAATTACTCTGTTTGGGGTCGTTAGTTTCCTTTCATTTTACCTCAAAGTATTCACGAGATGTTAAACATAATCTCGGATGCGACTAACAATTGCATAATTTATTATGTGTTTTTTATAATAAAACAGAAGGAGATATCAAGATTTTTTATAAGAAAGAAAGGAGAATCACAATTGTCAGGATTAGTGGCCTAGTTTTCTGAAAGGTCATGCTCGGGTATCGCTCTAATGCAGCTTGGCCCTAAGGAGCAGGTTCGCCTCCGGCTCTACCCCACAAAATGATGAGAACTTCTCAATAGTCGCAGAGGGGACAAGTCGGTTGACTCATGCCATAGGTCTCCATGAGAGTTCTCATACTAACTCGTCAAGTCTCCAGACTTAGGTTATCGCAATCTCGTGCCCTCCTAGATTTCCAGACTCAGGCTACGGTCTTCAGGGATCTCGTGCCCTAACAAGTTGTTGGACTCATGCTAAAACCTTGGAGGGTCTCGTCTCTCCATGTCTCCGGATCTAGGTTCTGATATACTGTTGACTAATATTATACCTAATTTRRYCAARTCAACATAAGTTTGTGTATTTTATGACTCATTAAAAAGTTGGTATTTGTCTTGGCGCAAAACGGAGAGTTTGGTATTTAAATGGCCATATTTCATAATCTCAAAACAACGTTGTTTTGAGACTTAATGGTTACAATAAACGGAGTTAACATTTTTTTTTTTAAACTGTTAAAGTTGACTAATTGTATACCTAATTTGGCCGAGTCAACACAAGTTTGTGATTTTTATGACTCATTAACAAGTTGGTATTTATTTTGACTCAAACTAGATAATTCAATATTTAAATGACAGTTTTCCTGATTTTTATTAGGCTACTTGGTCTACAAAAACCAAAATAATGGGTGAGGGCCCTAAAAAAAATTATTTCTCATGCTTAAAAATAGAAGAATATTTTCAAAAAAAAAAAGGCAAAAAATGAATGTAAAACGATGCTTATTTCTTAATTTGAATGAGCATCTGAGAAATCTATTATATAATTAGGAAGTTCTCTCTCCATCTAGAGTATCCACATAGACAAAAAAACTTTTAAAAAAATTTAAGTTTTAAAATATTCATTTAATATACAATAAACCATATTTATTTGTTCTGTTCAAAAAATAGTTTGGTTATATATAAGGATTGATATAGTTTGAAAGTTATGTATTTATTAGATCAAATTATTACATAATGGATCATATTTGTTAGATGTTTATAAATTATAAGATCGAGTTACTTAGCAACGAATTATCATCGAATGAGTTAGAAGTCGACGCTAATTCGTTGCAATACAACATAAAACCTATACCCTAAATGTCAAATCTCTGAACTCAGCGTCGAAATAGCGTTGAATTGATGCTAATTCGACGCTATGTTACATTTGTGGTATAGGGTATAACATCCTCGTTTAAACAAAAATCTTTTAGATTTTATGGTCGACGCTAAATCCAAAAATTTTTCATCAGAAATATACGCGGCCAAACTAAAATTATTTGAATTTAGTGTCGATTTAGCGTCAATTCGACGCTATTTCGTTGCTTAATCCAAATATTTTCATTTGAAATTTACGCGGTCAAAGTGAAAATATTTGGATTTCGCATCAAAATAGAGTCGAATCGATGCTAAAGTGACACTAAATTTAAATAATTTCAGTTTGGCCGCGTAAATTTCTGATGAAAAAATTGGATTTAGTGTCGAATTATCGTCGACCATAAAATCCTATATATAGAGATCCCTGGCCTTCCCTTATCACTTGCTCATTCCCTTTCTCTCTCAACTTCATTCTCTCTCTACTCATTTCATTTTTGAAGGATAAACAAAATATTATAGTTTAAGTTTTTAATATGTTTTAATTATTAATTAGCATTATGATTGAAAATTTGATATTTAGGTATGGAATTTAGAATTAAGATTGAAAACTAGAACTTGATAAAGTTTAGTATATATGTATTATAAATCTTTTATCATGATTATAGCTAATATTATGGTTTAAAAATATTAATTGCTTTCATGTTAAATATAATTGTTTAGAAAATTTTTATTCAATTTTAAATTTCGGATTTATAATTTTAATATTTATCAATTTTAATTTTAATAGTAGTTCTGATTTTACGATTTTATTTAGAAATATGAATTGAATATATTATTTTTTTTAAATAAAAATAAAAATCCGACGCTAAATCGATACAAAATTAGCGTCGACTGTTTTTACATTTGAAGCTAAACCGACGCTAATTTAGCATCGAAATATTGCATCCAATTCAATTCGATGTAAATCTGATGCTAAATTTGCATGGTATTTGCATCGATTTATTAGATTCGAATTAGCGTTGGTTGAAAATCGACGCTACTATAGTATTTGCATCGAATATGGCCAATGCAAAAACGTTGTTTTCTTGTAGTGAATGTTGAAGTGGTAGCTTTATCAAGTAAAGTGAAACAAAGATCGACTCTCTTATATAGAAATGTGATAGTGGTTTTCTCGTACAAAATTTGAAATAGGAATCAATAGATAACATAGATGACGAGGAATGAGTATTTTGATTTTATGTCAAAGAGAGTTAGACAAATGAATTAATATTGAATTTTATGAAGCTAAACTGGGCCTAATTACATTTAAGAACCAACCTAAGGTAAAAGGCAAATGGCAGAAAGGAAATCGTGAATCTTCATCGAAGATGGGCCAGTATGCACCATGGATCCACATATAGAGTAATGCAGTTGAAACGTGGCAATGATAACATCTATGCGCTCGAAATGCATCATTCCTTATAGTTGAGGGCAGCATGACATACAAGTAACCACACCGAGAGAGGGCAATAAGCTTCTACTTCCCCTGAAATCACCACCTGAGCACTCAGCAGATCACATGCTACATAAGCCCAACACAAGCAATGTTCATGCTATTATTAGTTTCTAATAATTTCATAATTTTCTATGAATTAGAGGCAATTATTAATTTTAATAAAATGGAATACTAACAAATTTTAATGACATTGTTAATGATCAATTATTTTCTGTATTCCAATAATAAAATTCTTCAATTCTCTTGCTTCTCTTATTTTTATGGTAGTAAAAAAAACAATTTTATACATGCGAGCAAAATTAGATATATTGGAATATCAATCAAATTTGTGAGGTTAATAATAATAATTATTTTATGTATTTCAATAACAACAATTTTCAATTCTCTTGCTTTTATATATTGCTTTTTCTAACTATCTTATTACATAAGTTATAAAATTATTAAAAAAAACTAACATAATATGTAATTCTAATTTGGGCCTTTTATTATTTTACAAAATTGTATAATATGGAATCACCAAATCCTCTGTTATTTTTACAGAATTATATATTATTTTCTATTGTTAATGAAAAGGAAATTAACATAATATGGAATTTTTAGATGGACAATTAGTTATGGTTGACTTAAAATTTGAATATATTTTTGTTTATCAATTGGAGAAAAACAAATCAAATAAAAAGATACAAAAAATCAATAACAAAACTTATACCTCGATCGATCAACATGAAACCTGTCAGATAAAAGAATATATCAAAATCAACGAAAAAATAGAAAATGTAGAAATATAAAAGTATGAAAATCATAAATAAGAATATGAAAAATTAAACATAAGATCCTTAGACATTATTTATTATGTATAGGTAATATGTATAGGTGAAACTTTGGAATATATTATTTATTAAAATGTTATATTTGAGTTCTTGAAGTAGAAAAAAAATTCTAATTAATAAAGTGGTAAGTGGTTAAATGCAAAA